AGTGAAATTAGTTATTTACAATATTATTTAGTTATTGAAATAATATTGTTATTTAAATTCTTAAAATATTAATTATTTATTGAATTTAATAATCCGTAAAATTATAATTGTACTATTATTACATAATTTGTTATTAATTTTGTAAAATATTAAATTATTATTAATATGAATATTATGAATTCTAATATAATTATTTTTCTACTTTTAAGATTTCTTTTAAATTTATTACATAATTTCGTTATTTTAACTACTTAAAATTTTGTCAAGTTAAATATTTTTTTATTTAAATGTTTAAATAATATGTAAAATATTTAAAATTTTTCATTATTTGAATTTTAATTATTTTAATGTTATTATGTAATATTAAATATTTTTCTATATTATTTAGCTACTTTTAATGTTTTTATTTAATATTTTTAGTTATTGAAATATTTAAGTAAAGTTTTATTTTTTAATGTTAAATTTTTATTATTGAATAATTCATAAAATTATAATTTATAATGTTACTATATAATTTCATGATGAATTTTGTAAAAATATTGAATTATTAATAATATGAATATTATTAAATATATTAATCTTTTGTGTTTTGAATAAATATTTTAAATTTAGTATATAATTTCGTTATAACATTTAAATAGTTTTGAATTTTTTGAATTGAAACTTTATTTAGATAGATATAGATAAAAAGTGGGGGAGAGGATAAATAGGAATTAGAGATACTTTAGGAGAAAATCTCTCTACTAAATTAGAGATAATTTAAGAGATAATAAGGAGTTACAGATAATTTAGGAGATAAATAGGAATTAGAGACAATTTAGGAGGAAGTGGGGGAAAGAGGTGCCACTTAGCTAAACATTAGAAAAGCTTTATGGTTGTTAGAAATAGTTAGGTATGTGTGATTTCCTTATTGGTTTAATGGGTAATTATGTGAAATTAAAAAAATAAAAAATTCAAAAAAACTGAAAATTAGGAAGGGGGGTTTCCTACAAGGAGAGCTATGCTGCAGACCAGTTTTAATATATATATATATATATATATATATATATATATATATA